TGTATCTAAATATTTCTTGGGGCAGGACTTTTCCAGGGATAGCTACAGCTCCCCCTTTTGGACGCCACTACAAAGGAACCATTGATTAAAGCAATAAAGAATTATTTACACATTTCTCTTCTTCTACATATTATTCTTTTTCAAATTATAATTTTTTTTAACAATTTAATGTAGTTTAACATAAGATGTTGTGGTTAAGATTTGAAGCTAGCACGCGGGCTGCGGCTGGCATTGTTAGCCGCTAAGACAGTTAGCATCATTTATTTTATTTTATTTAACTCCAACAAGAAAACTAACATTGACCCTGCATTTTTATCTCTTTATTAATATTTTACTTTTGAAACAAATGTTCAATATAGCAGAAAAAGGCCAAGATGTGTGTTTAAAAACGGCTGTTTGTGTGTGTTAGCATGCGCCCAATTACCAGCTAGTCTTTCAGCTAGCGTGAGCGCGTGCACGGAAGGCCGGTAGTCGGGCGCGTGCTGCGCCTGTTGAGCGGCCTGCTGGTGCAGGTTATACATGGCGCTGAGGGAGTTCATGGCGTGCAGGGAGTAACCGTTCACCCCGTAGTGCTGCATGATGGGAGGTCTGCACCTGCGGAGGAGAGGAGGAGAAAGGAGGAGAGGAGGAGAAAGGAGGAGAGGAGGAGAAAGGAGGAGAGGAGGAGAAAGGAGGAGAGGAGAAAGGAGGAGAGGAGCTGTGAGATTTCCTGATGAGGAACAAACGGACATTCACGGTTTTATTAGAACTAAATGACAGCAGGGGCCCCTATAGGGGCTCCCATGGGCTCCCAGGGACCAGCGCATTTTATTGTGCTCACTCGCGACTCAAATGTTATCCATTAACATCCAATTATCGCTTTGTTCATTTCATTAATTATACAAAAGACTTTTAATTGCTGTAATTATCGCTGTGTTCCGTAATGAACCATGACGGATGTTTTATTCAGGAACGGATTCAGCGCATAGAGCTCCAATCCCCACAGAAAGATATCAAAGCGCCGCTGAAAGATCAAAGCACCGCTGAAATGTTGGGGAAATAAAACATAATCTGATTTGTTCCGCGTCTCGGCTGTAGAACCCGATAACCGAATCATTTCAGACTCTGACAGAAACATCATTTTTCTCTTTCGATCTTTTCATGATTATTAATTCAACCAAACCTTATTTTTTATGTATTAAAAATCATTTTAAGTTTAGTTTTCTGATCCCCTGATTAACTGAAGCCAGAACACGATTGGATGAAACAGGCAGGAATTGATCATTTCTAGAGACCGAATAAATAAATCAATGTTACTTGTATTAAAAATGAATAATAAAAAAGTAGAGCCCATAAAAACGCTAGAAATTAAATTTTAATTAAGTCATTTCTTCTTAAACTTAGTGGATTTTTTTCTTGAATTGAGGAGCTGAGTGAGAAACTTTAAAACAAGAACAAAACAATTCCAGTCCCTTATTTCAAGTGCATATTATCTAATTATCTTATTTTAAGATTAAAAATAATCCTTATTGCAAAATCATCTTATTTAGCTCAAATTAAGGGTGAATGCACTTTTTTTTCTAGAGGTTTTTCCAGTGTAAAAACTTTGTAGGCCTTTAAACAAACAAAAACATTACTCATCCTTAGGTTTTTATCAATTAGGTTAAAAACAAAAACTAAAATAATTAATTTTAAACCCTGTTTTTATCCTAAGAGGATTTTTTGACTTGAAATACCATCATATATAAAATAAAAACTATGATCATTTCAGGTTATTTTAAACATCAAATGTGTTTTTTTTCAACGCTGCAAAAAAACATCTAGAAATAAGTAAAACATTTCTTAGATTAAGTGTATTTACCCTCAATTTTAGAAAATGACTTGCCAATAGAATTAGTGTTTTTTACTCCTAGAATAAGATAATTAGTTAGTCTGCACTTGAAATAAGACAAATAAATTGTTTTCTTTCTTATTTTTTGGTAAAGTCTCACTTAGCTCCTCAAATCAAGAACAAACGCACTTAATTTAAGCATAAATAACTTATTTAGATTTCCATTATTTGCAGTGAACCAATAAACTCCATATAGATTCTGCTTAAAAACATGATTTTATATAATTATTACATTTTTTGTCAGAGGCTTAAATTTGAAATATTGATCTGGAATGAATCTGATTTTTTTGTGTTTATTACTAATTATAATAATAATACAGTTTAGTTAAATCTAGAGGGGAACATGAGACATTTCGTTTTGCGTCAAAAACCCCAAACTTAGTAGCTGCGTGCGCGCGCGCATGTGCACGTGTCGCCCGCAGTGCCCATTTCCAGCCTATTAAGTGGCTGCGGCGGCTGATGAATGTGATCAGAGGGCAATGGGGAATAGTTTAATTCTCCGGGACAGAAGGTGCTTCGCTAAACATTTACTTTGCTCCCTGTAGTATTCCAGTATTCACCCCCCCATACTCCCTCCTGTGGCCCCCTCCCGCCCTGGGGCCGCGTGTTGCCTGAGATGTATGGCTTCTCCGCGGGTATGAAAAAAAAAATATGCATGTTGATCCCCATTTGGCTCCCCGTCTAATGGAAGTGCAAATAGGTTTCGACTGCGGGGCCCTCCATTTATCATCGGCGCTGACGCGGACGGGACCCGCGCGCGCAAGCCGCGAGCGCGCGATCCTCGTGCATTTCTCGCATTTCACCCCGTCATTTTTTTCTACAAAAAGGATATAAAATAAATATTCCCGCATCGTAGAAACGCAGCATCCATGTTAATCTGCATGTTAATCTGTCTCATCCTTCAGTGCCAAAACAAATTCTGCACAACAGCTGCCTGTCAGGCTCGGTATTGTCATTCATAAGCCGCTCACAGCTTCAGGCGCCGCGTTGGGCCCCGCTCCCGGCGGCCCCTGCCATTCCTCCATCATCAAACATTCATTAGGGATTTTTTTTTTCTTTTTTTTATTCTTTGATCCGAATAAATTTGGAAAAATGTTATTTGTTATAACCTTCCTCTGGGGGCACGAGGCGACCCAACTATCTGTGTGTTTGTTTGTTTTTTTGCTACGTCATGCAGCGTAAACTGAGCGCGAGGGAGTCGTTTGATTTAAAGGCAGCGGTTGCAAACATGTGGAAGTTTGTTTATGAAGAAACATTTAAATTTGAACTTTTGTTTAAAAAAACAAACATAAGTGGGTTTATTTTTAACTGATAAATAATC